GAGGCCACACCTGGAGTACTGTGTCCAATTCTGGGCTCCCCAGGACAAGAGAGACATGGCACTACTGCAGAGAGTCCAGCGGAGGGCTACAAAGATGATGAGGGGACTGGAGCACCTCTCCTGTGAAGAAAGGCTGAGGGAGCTGGGCCTGTTCAGCCTGGAGAAGAGAAGGCTGAGGGGGGATCTCATAGTGTATACAAATAGCTCAAGGGGGAGTGTCAAGAGGATGAGGCCAATCTCTTCTCCATGGTGCCCAGCAACAGGACAAGAAGCAACGGGCAGAAACTGAATCACAGGAAGTTCCACCTAAACCTGAGAAAAAACTTCTTCCCTGTGAGGGTGACTGAGCACTGGCACAGGTTGCCCAGAGAGGTTGTGGAGTCTCCTTTGCTGGAGATATTCAAAACCCGTCTGGATGTGACCCTGGGCAACATGTTCTAGGTGACCCAGCTGGAGCAGGGGGGTTGGACTAGATGATCTCCAGAGGTCCCTTCCAACCTCAACCATTCTCTGATTCTGTGATTCTGTGATTCTGTGATTGTTACCAGCTTTCTCATTTGCTACCTGAGACAGCTGACGCCTTTGCTTCCTCCTAAAGCTGGCTCTGATTTACTCACTTCCCAGGTCTGCTCAGTCTACTGCTGGCTTCTGATCTCTAAAAAATAATAGGAAACACCATCCATGCAGAAAGGTGGCTTGTTTTGGTTCTTGTGTTTAACCTACAAGAAATATTCAATCAGCCGCTCACCTGATTCTGCTGTAATAGTTATGCTCCTAGCATAACTGCTTAGGAACAAAGCTGTAAGGTGAGATATTTTAACGAGGCCATTGATGTTCTTAGAGATAAATGTGTTAAGTTATTGTTATTTTTGCTGCTTAAGTAGAGAGCGGTAAGATTGTTCTACAGTAGTTGAAGCATTATTGAACGCCAGGGGCAGCTGGCATCCGCTAAGAAAGGCACATGGAAAATATGACGTCACATAAGTGCGGCTAGTTAACACCAGTTTCCTAATTCAGAAGGCTTTAAAAGCTAATGTTTAAAAATAGCACCTTAATGATATCTAAAAATAGCCTTTGCCAAGCCCCAGAGTATTCTGACCTCCATTAAATTGGAAGTCCATTTCCTATGGCTGGTGGTGTAAATCACATTTACCTTTTACATCCTGTTCTCTCTGGGATTAGCTGCAAAGCCTAATGCCTGACCTTGGAAGCCTATTAGCAAACATACAAGAGTAACCTAGATCACTCCTTTGAAGGGTGTGCGATATACAGATACAATGTGCGGAACGAGTTATTGGACAGGGTATAATCTTGGGTTCCACTTGTCAGCAGACATACCAAGGCAGGTGAGGGTCTGTCAGAGCATGCAGAGATCTGAGATTTATTTGAAAGGTGGTGCCGGGGTTAGGACCTGGGGCGGGGACACGGGAGACCCTGGTTCTATTTCCAGTTCCTTCATAGATTTCCTGTGGGACCTGGGGTAAGATCCTTGCTCTCCTGCAGGGCTCCAAATGCCCATCTACTTCTCGCTGGCCCTGGAGTAATATTATAAGGATAAGTTCTCTAAAATATATGCCATTCTTAGATACCACATTGATACACCTTACAGTAATGTAAAAACTTAGTTTATGCTTAGTTTATGAGCCCAAACCAAACACACTGAAAGACAAACAGGGGCTGAGGCGCTCTAGAGCTCTTACCCGAGCAAGTGGTGGGAACAGGTTTGGTATTGCTGGAGATACCCATTTTGCTTGCTTCTCACTGTGCTCCCCTGTGCTGTGCTTGGCCCTAACGTGTGTCCCATTGTATCAAATACTCTGTGATAGCTCTGACAAAGCGAAAGAAATCTTCAGCGTGATCTTCCCTGGCAGAAAGCAGAGAGATTCAGTGGCATGTACCCGGAACAATGCTTTCTGATCTCAGAACTTCCGCATTTTTTTGGCTATTTGCAAATTAGGCAAATTATCTCAACTAGCACATGAAATAGATTATTTTCATTTAAGCATTTTATACAGAGTGTCTGAAAGGCCATGAAACCCTAAAGGCAGTAAAACGCCTTCCTCAAATTAGTCAAGCTAAAGCAAAGCCAGACTTTGATTCTTCTCTTCCATTGCAGTCACAGGGCCTGGTACCTCTCCACAGATCCTATCCAGTATCGCATTCTTCCCCATCCTATGTCTGCACATAGCAGACACACTCCAAACAAATGAAAAAGAACATGTGTAAGTAGGAGTTTGTCTTCCACTCTCTAGTGCTGCGCTGCCTAGCTGAAATAATCCCCGTATTTATTTATTTTTTTCTTTTGGCACAGTGTCCAAGGTAGACCCTGAGTTGTTCTGGGAAGAGACAGTCCATGCTTTTTTTACGCAGAAATCAGTGTATGCCATGATGTCATCTGAAGACTAAAATCAGCACTGATACACGTCTCAAGCAATCCTGCTTCATTAGTGAGATAGAGTGAATGTAAACCAGCCTTCACTTTTGTCACTCTGCGTTATTTTATTTTGTAATGGTCTTCATTAGTTTTGCCAGATGCTTTTCTTCCCTTTGCCTGTTAGGGTCCAGTCCTGCAAACACTTATGCTTTCTCTTATGCACATGCGTTCGGCACATGCATAGCTCTTTGCAGGACTGGAGCCTGAATTTGTTTCTGTCTCTGAATTCCAAGTCGGATTTTGATGCAACAGTTATTTTATATATTAAAATATCAAGTTTCTGCCCACACACATAATGCATGATGTATAACAGACCTTGCAAGGCAGCCGTTGGAAACGATCACTTAAACTGCAATTTATACAGAAGGAAGAGTTCCTATTCCTTGTTTTTCAGCTAGAATTTATCGGAATGAAACTGTGAAGGTGTTGCTCCTCAGAAACAACATGATGTACATCTGGTTTCACATGCTGTCATTTAGCCCACAACCTAAAATCATAAAGTGAAACTCTGCAGAGGCTAATGAAAATTATTCCCCTTTGAGTTGCTTTATTAAAACGCAACCTCAAAAAATACTGGCACGTCAGGAAAGCAACTTTAATCCCATACCTGTTATCCTCTTTCACAGGCTTTAAATCATTCTCTTTGCTCCCTAGTTTGAGCAAATACACCCTTATTGTTTTTGTAGTCCTGCTATGACCTTCTGGGAATGTTTTCATCATGTAAAGCAACCTGCAGTTCCCTACTTTATAAATCTCATTCATTCCAAGTGTTAACACCAGCTAATTCTCTGCTTTAGAAAGGAAATCATGTTTGTTTTTTTGAAGAGTCTGCTGGGAAGGAGAATATTTGAATTTAAAATATTTTTTTCCATTTCATAAGTTTTCGTTGAGTTTTCTTCCCAGTGGGCAATAGAAGACTGTTTATATAAGTGAAGAGGGAAGCTTACTTTCCCATTACTTCCACAAAAATACAATAACTATGCTAATTATTCCACTAACTGCACGTGGAATGCACCTTACTGGCTGGAGAGGTAATGCATTTGGGTAATAGTTAACTTCTTTTTTCCTCAATTACCTTTTAATAGGAGAGCAGAAGGTGTCAAAGCAAAACAGCTGCATATCTTCCAAGAAAAGCCCGTGTTTTCCGGAGGAATTCAGGCGGAGGTGCTTTATTAAGCGAACTAGTCAGGACAAACATTAACATGGCAAGCATGGCCCTCCAGTTGCTTGGCTTCTTTCTCAGTCTGCTCGGTCTAATTGGGACACTAATTGCTACTCTTCTGCCGCACTGGTGGCGAACGGCACACGTAGGCACCAATATTATAACAGCTGTGAAATATATGAAAGGGCTGTGGATGGAGTGCGTCTGGCACAGCACCGGCATCTACCAGTGCCAAGTCCACCGGTCTCAGCTGGCGCTGGCCAAAACGCCTACCGCCGTCTCGGGGGGCATCGCGTTCATCTTGGCCGGCCTCCTCTGCCTGGTGCCCGTCTCTTGGACCACGAACGACGTCGTTACCGATTTCTACAACCCGCTGCTCCCCAGCGGCATGAAGTACGAGATCGGGCAAGCCCTCTACCTCGGCTTCGCCTCCGCGTCTCTGACCATCCTGGGCGGCGCGCTGCTCTGCGCCTCGAGCCAGCGGGCGGGCAGCCGCGCGCCTCACCCGCCGCGGCCCAGGAGCGCACCCAGGGCTGCTCCCTCCTGCAGACCACCAACCGCCTACCAGGGGAACCATGCCTCTTCCCGGACATCTGCTTCCCATAGCGGCTACAGATTAAATGACTATGTGTGAGTTCTCTCAGATTTGCCTGCGGGACACAGCTGCTTTATAATTTCTGTGCATGGCATAAAACAAAGCTAAGATGACTTTTAATTTATAAGGGTCGCGATACAAAGTTTACCATTGTTCCCTCCTTCCTTTCTCGCCATAGAAGGAAGGAATGTGAGCACAACGCTGCTTGCTTCAAGACCTTAAAAAATGAATACAAAGGAGACTGTGAATATTCCAGAGACTGCAAATACCTGCCTACTTTAGATCAGAGTTTTGCACACGGCCAGTTCAAGAGCAGTTCTTCTAAAAGTTATCCTTTGGTTTATAGATTTTGCCCTGTGACAAGCAGTAAAGCAGAACTGGCCACAACTTGCCATTTGAACAGGGTTCGGACAAAAAACCCCACAGTTTTGTCTAAAGCAGAAAAACGTCATGGTAAGACACAGCGATTTCAGCTCTGTTTTTCCTTTGAACTCTCATTTCCATGACTTACAAATGTTTCATTTTGACAAGGTATTAGTTTTGCTTAACTTGCTGTTTGTTTTGTGGGTTGTTTTGGTGCCTTGAAATTGAATTTTAATAGTATTACAACAGATGTATTTAATAGTCTGTTATAGCCAATATTTTATATTATACTATAATGTTTTGACCTTATCAAAATAAAATTTCAGGACATCGCCAAAACAAAAAGATTCACCATAATAGAAACAAAACATTTCAGTGGATCAGAAGTGGGTTTTTAGAAATGTGTGTGATACGAGAAAAAATAGACATTTGACTTTATGCTGGTCTGAAATCTGGAGAAAAAATTTTAAGTATCAGACTGTTTCACAGAACGGACACTTGGCTCTTCAATTAACTCTAGATAGCAGCTTTAGCATTCTCTATAATCCACATATTACACCGGTTAGGAAAGCAGTTTTGATAATCCTGTCCCCAAAGATCAAGTAATCAAAAGTGCTAATTTCTTAGACTCGGTCCTGGTATCTTTTACATGAGGTCTTGACTGAAGGTGCATTAAAGTTAGCAAGGATCTTTCCGTCTGCTGCTGTGGAGTTTGGAGAAATGCCATTCTGTCAGGCTTTGGCACAAAAAGGCAGCCTCTGTGCTAGAAGAGTTTACACACACAGATTGTAACCTTTGCCTGCCAGCAGGAGTAGAGAATGAAGACACTTGCTTCTAAAATCCTGAAAAAATGCAATCATGCCACAGTATATTCAAACAATTAAAAAAAAAAAGGAAAGAAAAAAGTATACCCATTTCATTTACAGTGAGGTCCAGTATGACAAATAGTATAAACCATCAAAAAAAAGGAAAAAAAAGCAGTAGATTCCTGTTAAGCCCAGAGAGCTATACATCCCTCTGGAACAACATATGGGCCAACCGACTGACATTTAATAGGGTTAAAAAAAAATACTGCCAACAACTGTGAGGCAACTACATTTGGTATACTTCATTTGGCAAAAAGCCTGTTTGCAATTACATTATCACCTGGCAGCACCTCCAGAGCTTGGATCCTGTCAACATTTCTACTGTTTTCACTCTGAACCTTCTTTTCTGTGCCTGATCACCTAGCTATTTTTTATTTATGTTTCCTTGAAATGTAACAGAGCATTTTTTCAGCATCAGTGCAAGTTGTTATCATTAGAGCTTTTTAAAAATAAATGACATTTCTAAGAAATTTGCTGAGCATAACAACAAAAAAGATTTGGGGTCAGGCTCCGGCACTCGCCTCGTAAAAACTGACTTAATCGCTCCAAATGACTTTTTTTCATCTGGGCCTGTACGGGCAGATTCATTTTTTTCAATTATTCTTTTCATTCCATTTTTAAATGAACTGCTTCATATATACGGTCAATATATTCTATTTTATTAACCACAGATACTATGTATGATGTGAAGCAAAAATTTGTACAGTGACTTTGTTATAAACTGGAAACATCTTAAATAACAGACCCTGAGATGCAAGGAATGGACAGAAACTCCTTTATACAATGGCTTCTTAAGAAAGACGGAGTTGAATTGTTCATAGTCCGCTACAAATTTTCTGGGTTGCCTTTTAGGATGAAAGGTAGCCTAATAAAGGCTAGATTTTTTTTCCCTGTATTAACATTACAATAGATCTAGCCAAGTGATTATGGTATCAGCTTTGGAGAAGGGTTTTGGACAGCCATGAATACTACAACACAAGTCCAAGTCCAGGAAATGGTCTTGTGTGTCATTATGTAGTATGTTTGCTCCATACTGATAAATTATTTCACTTGCCAAGACGGATGTGCAGTGGGAATACTTATGTGTAGCGTTATTCTTGCTTCACAAATCCCCAGCCAAACAGACTACGTGACAGTAGTAAGAACGGCTTATAAAGTTCTGGCAAAAATACCTGGAAGTGCTCTGATGTCAATAAAGAGAGTGAAATGGTTTATTTCACAGCGTGCTATGGGCCAGCGGGTCTCATTCCATGCTAAAATTGAGGATTTTTCTGCCTTATTTTTTAAAGCTCCCACTTAAAACAAAAGTCTCATCCATTCTAGTAAAGTTAAAAGGTCTGGCTGGCTGCAACAAACATGGACAAACCTCCGTTGTGATACTCCTCGGCCTTTCCTTCTGCTCTGTGACCGCTGCGCGGCTCGGCAGCCAACCCCAAGCCCAGCTCTCAGCTGCTCGTGGGCTCTCCGAGACCTTAGCCGAGGTATGCATCCTTTATCGAGTAATCCCTTGGCCATTGGTAGGATCGAAAGGCAGAAGAGTATCGAGGAAAATGACCGAGTTTCCTGAAACACTGAGATACTGTTTGTGGGAATGTGTACTTTGGACAGCCTCTAACTCGGTAGCAGGGGAAACTGGGCAGAGCACGGGCCGAGGGCTGACACATGCCTGAATCCATCCGCACGTGTCCGCTAAGTTTTTTCAGAGGCCCATCGAAGCAGGGTTTTTTTTTTTTTAATTAAATAAATACAGCTCATTTTGCCTCCTGCTCGCTGGAGCTGGAGTGCCAGCCTGGCCTCGGTGTGGAGGCACTGCAAAGGCAGCAAGTAATGGGTGAAGGTAGGTGAGCAAGGGGCCCGAGAGGGGGGCCAGGGGCAGACAGAAATTGCTTTGAGCAGTGCAAGCTTCGCTAGTGCGCGTCCTCCTCTCCTGTAGCACAGAGGCATCGTGGTAACGCTGCATTTTAATCAACCTCATTGAATGAAACGTTGCTCAGGGAGCAGCGGGTGGGGGACTAAGAGGCACAGGGCAGGGGAGGGAGGTGGACAACGCTGGAGGAAGAGGGTCAGCAGGGGGGATATCGCGGTTCGGGGACCGGGGACTGCATTGTGGGACGAGCTGGAGGCTTCTGGGGTTGGGATGGAGCTGGGCATGGAGGGGGCCAGTGCCTCCACAGTCAGCAGGGAGCTCTTTCTGAGACACCCCTAACCAAGAGCCCAGTGAGGGGACTGGGACACAGGCAAAACTGATGCCCCCACCTCAGCATCCTCCCTCAGGGCTGGTGGGCCACCCTTTCTCCAGCCAGTGTGGATTTTACCCCTTGAAATAAGGCAGGTCTTGACTTTGTCCGATGGAGTATGTCAGACAGGTAACTCTGGTTCAGGGTATCACAAACAACTAAAAATAAACCAAGGGATCTCAAGAGAAGAAAAAGTTTTAGTTGCCTCTAATACTGCTACTTGAAACTGAGTAACAGACCGGAGGAAGAAAACGTGACGTTCTGTTATTATTGAGCTGTGCGGGATTAAAACCTTGCGCTCCCTTGCAAGACATTATTCCTAATTCACCAGTTCCCTCCAGCTGCAGGAAAGGGGTTTAATCAACAGGATGTGCGAAGAGACTGATCTAATGACATTAAGGCTAGGTCGGAGATAAACAAGGAACCTCCTCAGATGCAATGCAGGTAGGGGGAAAAAGTGAGCTACCTTTTGGCTGGAATACATCAATCTTAAGCCCTGAAGAAGCGTGATGATCGCGTCTGCCCTTCTGCGTAACATGGGCCCAAAGACCATGTGGTGCTGAAGGAGCACATAATCCATCAGAGAGGGACTGCTCAGACTGGAAGACATCAGCTATATCTGGGATACATTTGGTAGATTACAGCTGGAGTGCTCATGCCCCTGGCAACCTGAATCACAGGTTTCAAACACGGCGTATGCTTGTGCCCATCAGGCTAAGCTGCCACAGAATTAGCAAGTTGATTTAACAATTCACTGCCACTGAAACGGCGAGATCCCACTTCCCTCTCCCTTGCTCCCCCTGCCCTGGCTCCCAGCCATGGGTTTCTGCTGCTCACTTGGCACCACCAGAGATCTCCATCTCATCAAAAAGGCAGAAAACAAATCCACCAAAGAATGGGATCGTTTTCTGACACTGTCATTAGCTCACCCAACTCACAGAAGGGTCTAAGGAGAGCCAGAGCTGGAAAAGAGATGTTACAGGAGGTTAGGAGCAGCAGGCAGGAGGAGCAAAGATGGGGAGCTGGGGGGGAACAAGTTTTCCCCCCTTTGGCAGCACAGTCAGTCAGCAGCCCAGCAGAGCTGCCCACAGAACCAGGGCCTGAGACGTGCTGTGTTGTTCGCTGTCACTAAGCCAGACAAAGGCGCAGAGCCACTGACCGGGCAGAGACAATCTCTGCAATTTTTGCTTTTTCCCCCCCCACAACGCCTAGTGCAAGCAGCGGAGTAAGGTGAATGATAAACCATAATAAACACTAACCCATTTATTTAAGAAATGTGCCTGAGTGAACTCCTAATAAGAAGAGGAATTTAACTGAATTCAGTAAGTAGAAGTTCTGCTAATCTAAAACAGAAGTTATCAAAACAGTTCTACAGTTAGCTGGTAATTAAGGTTTTTCACATCAGTGCATCAAGATTACCAGCAATTGTGTCCACCTGTAATTACCAACTGCTGTTTTACCGATTATTTTGCTGTATCACCAGCAAGGTGGTTTGTGGAGAAATAAATAAGAAAGATAGGGAAGGGTAGTACATTTCATCAGTTCAGGATCAGCTTAAAGACAGGCTGAAAGT